AACCTATACATATTTTAAGACAGTTGATGAAGAGATATAGAGAGAAGAGAAAGGATCTACATATGGTTTTTATTGATCTAGAAAAAGCTTATGATAGAATGCTTAGAGAAGTAATGTGGTGGGTTTTAGAAAAGAAATATTTATCTAGTATATATATTGATGTGGTTAAAAATATATATGATAGACTAATTAACAACATGGGCGAATCGAGAAACTTTAGTTACTGGGGGCAAGACTATAAGTATAACTAACGTGTGATATTTATACCTAAAATATTATGACATCAAAACCAAATATGCATTGTATTATATGTACAAAATAAATATAGCCAATAAAAGTGTTATATTAGAATTCTTTATAATGGTTCTTGCCGTATTTTTATATTTTTACGGTAAGCAATAGTGTATGATGAAGTTTATTCAGCCCTTGATATCAAGAGTGGTGCCACAATCAAGCGGGAGGAGGGTCTGTGGTTGGGAGGAGGAATTGATGCTAGTGTATTGTATCAATTGGTAATCGTTGTAACAGAGCAAAGACGGAATTACAAAAGATAGCTAAGGGGATTTAGAAGAATTTGGTAGAAATTACAATGGTTACTAGTGATAGGGTAACAAAAATTGGGTAAACGGATTGGGCTGCTTGTCCCATTAGCATTTAGTTTCATAGATATGATGCGTTGGTTCAATAGGCTCATGGTATAAATACCAATACGATTTGAGGGTTTTGTGAGGAGAGTTTTGGGGTTTTGGAGCACAGAAAAAGAGAGATCTTTCTGAGCTATTTGTTAGGGTTATTGGTTGAGAGATTGAGAGATTTGTTGGTGAGATTAGTTGGTTCGTTTGAGCGATTTGTAATCTCAATTTGTACTCTCCTTCTCTATTAGTGAAAACCCACCCCCTTCTTGCCCCGTGGACGTAGGCAATTTGCCGAACCACGTAAAACCTTGGTGTTTGTGTTTTGTTTGGTCTTTCTCTCGGCGTTCGTTGGTTTGGTTTCTCAAAGCATCAGTCACAACAAGTGGTATCAGAGCACGGGCAACGCTTGGGCTATTTGGAGGAGTAGATCGCTTTGGAAGTTCATCTAGGGCTTCGTTTGGTGATAAAGGTGGGATCTTTTTTTGTAAAAATCTCGTCTTTTTCAGTTTGGATCTATTTCTCGTTTGTTTCCGCATTGGTTTGGTGGTGCCTTGAGGATTATGGCCGAGAAAGAAGGAGTTGTGGGCAGTACTTCCGGCGTGAAGACCGTCCAAAGCTTGAATATCCACTCAATGAAGATTGATGTGGAAAAGTTCAATGGCACAAACAATTTTGGACTTTGGCGATGCGAAGTCATGGATGCGCTCAACGCGCAAAATTTGGAAGATACGTTGGAGTTGGACGGGAAACCGGACAACATTGATGAGAAGGTTTGGAAAAAGATGAATCGAACGGCGTGTGGTGTGATTAGGTCTTGTCTCACTCAAGATCTAAAGTATGATGTGATCAATGAGACTTCTGCAAAGAAGATTTGGGAGATCCTTGAGAGCAAGTATTTGACCAAGAGTGTGGAGAATCGCTTGCATTTGAAGAGGAGGCTTTACCGCTTCCAGTTGAAGAAAGGAACCTCCATTGGTGATCACATGAACCACTACACGAAGCTTCTTGCGGATTTGGCGAATGTGGATGTTAAGATTGAAGATGAGGACAAGGCGTTGTTGCTATTGAGTTCCTTGCCTGACGAGGAATATGAGACCTTCGTTCTTACTCTTATTAATGGGAAGGCATCTCTTTCGTATAGTGAGGTCACCGCTGCACTTGTGAATTATCAGCTTCGAAAGAAGGATAAGGAGACTTCGTTTGAGCCGGTAGCGGGGGCGTTGGTCGCAAGAGCAAAGGGTCCAAACCGTAGTGGGAGGTCGCAGTCTAGAGGGGCACATCTTGGAGTTCGTAAGAATCAATGTGCCTTTTGCAAAGAAGATGGACATTGGAAAGCCGATTGCCCAAAGTTAGTTGATCGAGCCGGGAAGAATAAGGGAAAAGCTATTCAAGCTTCAGAGGCGAATGTTGTCAAGGCTAGTGGCAACGATTCAGATTCGGATTCTTCGGGCTACTCGTTATCTGCACTGCCGTCAGTTTGTGTTGCCTACTCTACAGAGTGGATATTGGATTCGGGTGCTACATACCACATTTGCCCTAGGAGGGATTGGTTCTCCAGCTTTCAGGAGTTGGAAAGAGGGGATTTCGTGCTCATGGGGAATGATCACAAATGCTCTATTGGTGGTATTGGTACTGTTCGGATCAGGATGAGTGACGGGGTGATTCGGGAGTTGGTTGGAGTGAGGTTCGTTCCTCAGTTGAAGAAGAACATCATTTCACTTGGAGCTTTGGAGGCAGCTGGCTATAGGGTGACCTTGGCGGATGCACGCTTGAAGGTTACATTTGGGTCCATGATTGTGATGAAGGGCGTCAGAAGAAGAAATTTGTATTATTTGCACGGAAGCACGGTGATTGATAGGGAAATGACGACTTCATCAGATTCGGCTAGACTGTGGCATTGTTTGGTGCTGGGGTATATGATTGGTAATACCGTGCATTGGTTGTTGAGGAGTGCTATGACCTGCAGATTGAAGTCCTGTGAGCACATTAGGATGAGCGAGACCGTGGTGGAGTTTGGCACTTCTATCCATCGAGCGAGGGGTCTTTTTGGAGGTGTTCAGTCAGGCATTTGGGGGCCTTCCAAGGAGGCATCATTGGGAGGTAATCGTATCTTGGTTTCCACAGTTGGTGATTGTTCTAGGCATTATTGGGTCGCGACCAGTTCCCGTTGGTGTAAAGTCCTAGAAGTCAACAACAATTGGAAGAAGTGTATTGGCAGAAAGGTAACTCATTGTTTCAGCTTTGGTAGGGGTCCTTTCTTGCGTTGGTGCCGAGCTCACGGCAATAGGAGACACTTCATTGGTGTGGAGACTTTGGGGCGACGAGATGAGATGACAGTTTCGATGGGTCGTTCCTTTCTGGAGGAGGATCGGCGTTTGATGTCGAGCATTGGCATTGGTGTGCGGGCTTCGACATATTTGGGTCATCTTATGCATAGGTCGCCGACTGCTGCTTTAGGAGTTATTAGATCTGGTGGAGCTGCTTCAGATTTTGGGTCGCGTCGGATATTTGGATACCCAGCATTTGGTCACATCGTGGATGTGAGATTGGATCCGATTGCGCGTTTGGGGTTCGGAGGCTCAGTTGATTATCGTTTGGGAGCTTCTGATTTTGTTCTGAGCAGGTATGTCACTTTTGACTCTCGGCAGGTGGAGAGTGTTGATCAGGTCATTTGGATATCGCAGCAGGTGGAGAGTGATGCTACTCCACGTTGGGTGGAGATTACTCCACATACTCCAGATCATACTGCGTCATTTGGGATTCCAGCTAAGGTGACACAGGTTGGAGATCATTTGGTTTTGGATGCAGATGATGGATTGGTTTTGGATTCAGTTGCAGCTGGTAGATATAGTTTGGATATGGCCATTGGTTTACCTCAGGTGGAGGTGTTTGATTTGTCTCAATTTGGGGTCATTGGGAATACTATCAGTTGCAGATCGTTTGGTGATATTGGAGAAGAGTTGCAGACTTTTCTATTTGATTGAGGGCCTTTGGAGGCCGTTTGGGTGAACTACGTGAAGGCTTGATTCCTTGGGCAAAGGATACGTAGGCAGTCATTTTGATGCAGCCGATTTGGTGAGCGACATCGACATTTGGGGTGAGTGTTCACACTCTCATTTGGGTCTCAGCATGTGAGGCATTTGTTTGGTTGGTGTCGGCTCAGTTTTGGGAAAACTTCGCCGAGGTGGAGAATTGTGGAGAAGAATTGGAAAAAGCAGATTTTTGGTCATAAGTCGACTCATGCACAGGCATAAGTCGACTTATGGTAAGTCGACTTATGTTGGTGCATGAGTCGACTTACGTTCTGCTCTGGATTGTTGGTTTTTTGCTCTGCCAAGTCGACTTATCAGGTCTGATAAGTCGACTTATGATCTCTTCTCCAGTTGCTGTTTTTCGCTCTGCCAAGTCGACTTATGCAGACTGATAAGTCGACTTATGACGGGTTTTTTGGAAAGTTCAGGTTCCTATTTGCAGTCTGTTTGGGTTTCTGTTTTGGTATAAATACCAATACGATTTGAGGGTTTTGTGAGGAGAGTTTTGGGGTTTTGGAGCACAGAAAAAGAGAGATCTTTCTGAGCTATTTGTTAGGGTTATTGGTTGAGAGATTGAGAGATTTGTTGGTGAGATTAGTTGGTTCGTTTGAGCGATTTGTAATCTCAATTTGTACTCTCCTTCTCTATTAGTGAAAACCCACCCCCTTCTTGCCCCGTGGACGTAGGCAATTTGCCGAACCACGTAAAACCTTGGTGTTTGTGTTTTGTTTGGTCTTTCTCTCGGCGTTCGTTGGTTTGGTTTCTCAAAGCATCAGTCACAACAAAATATATATATATATATATATATAGAGAGAGAGAGAGAGAGTAATAAGAAGTAGGTAAACAGATTAGGTTTTTCACATTTAGCATTTATTTTCAAATATACGAGGACTTGGTTTAATAGGCTGAAAGGTGTGGGGGGTAATTGCAAAATCATGGACCAAATATTAAATATGGTTTCTTGGGGGTCAATGGGGGCAATTGACCCCACAACCCTCACTATGTATCTACCAATGAGCAACAACTAGAATAAGAACTAAGGAAGGAGAGACTAAACTGTTTCTTATTACCATAGGTTTATATCAATAACCAGTCTTAAGCCTTTATCTTTTTGCATTAGTTATGGATCAACTTATTAGGCACATTTAGGGTAAAATCCTATGATGTATGTTATTTACAGATGATACATTGTTAGTTAATGAAACTAGAGGAGATATAATTTCTAAAGTAGAAAGTGGAGGCAAGCTCTTGAATCTAAATATTTTAGAATTAGTAGAACGAAAATAGAATATATGGAGCGCATTTTTAGTCAAACTAGGAAAAGAAAAAAGCCTATGATACATATTGATAGTCAAAAATTCCTAAAACTAATCATTTTCGCTATTTAGAATCAATTATTAGGCATGATGGTGAGATACATCGAATCAAATCGGAATGGTTGAAATGAAGGAGTGTTTCAATAAATGAAAAATTCTATATGACAGTTATAAGATCAGGTATGCTTTATGGGTCAGAGTGTTGGGCAATTAAAAAATAACATGTTCAAAAATTGAGTATAACAGAATTGAGAATGTTGTCACTAAAAGATAGGATAAGAAATAAGTGCATCCGCAGTAAATTGCTCCTATTGAGGATAAAATGAGAGAGAATAGATTAAGACTATTTGGTCGTGTATAACGGAGACTACTTAGTGCACAAGTTAGAAAAAGTGATAATATTATAGTTAATGGGGCTAGGAGATCTAGAGGTAAACCTGAAATGACTTGGTTAGAAGTGATTAAGAATGATATGATTATGACTAACTTAACGGAGGAGATGACCTATAACAGAATGAAATGGAAGAATATGATTCACGGAAACAACCCAAGCATTTAGAATAAAGGCTTGTTGTTGTTGTTGTTGTTGACTTGTTGTATCTAAAAAGTAAATTTTCTCTTCGATATGAATGGTATCTAGATTCTATGAATGGTATCTAGATTCTGCGTAAATTGCATACAACGTCATTACCGCAAAAGACCTTTTATCAAATTGATTATGTACTATGCTGAGGAGCAAAAGATCTTTTTATTATTATTAAAAACTCTTAAGAAAACGCTCAACTAATAAAATTAGGATAGAAAATAGTACCATTTGAAAGCATAGTTCTTCTTGTATATTCAAGAGACTTAATAGTTATCTGAAGATTCACAGAAAAAATTCATATAAAAGTGACTTCATTTAACATGATCCTGTATCAAAAATACTATTTTCTTGCACAATAACAATACAACTATATCACTTGCAGATTAACCTAATAGATACATTTAGTGTTGGTTGGCATAATCCTTCAGTTGTCTCAAAATCTTCGTTTGGAGAAAAAGAAGTGGACTGCATACCTTATATACAAAGAAAATTACACCAAACAGGAAGTGTATATTACAAAAAGTATAAGCCTCTTTTGATAATACACAAGCAACGAACGTATGGAAAAATTTTCGACAGAGTTTACAGTTAAGGCTGAGGGTGCTGCCGCTGCTCTTGTAGATGATAGTGCTTTTCACCTTGCCATGCCCAAACTATATCTTTAAGTGCCGGCCTCATGTCTTCTTTAAACAGTTTCTGATACTCCAGTGTGTCTCCGTTAGTCTTTTTCACCTCCACAAGGTGCAATGAAGGAGCAACTTCATATATCTCGGCATCGATAGCCAAAATCCCTTTTCTTCCAGGTTTCGATCCTTCCATCTTCAGAACACCCCCATCCTTCTTCCTAACTATTAATTTCAAATTCTCAGCAACTTCTTCCATCTTTGACATAATAGCAGTTGCAGGCTGACGAGAAGTAAACCTCGCTTCTTTTCTTTGGTCCCTCTCAAATAATCCTGAGAGATCGAATCCTGATGATAAACAAATGATATCAAAAGCATTTAAGTTAATGGGCTTTGACAATTCATGATTATCTTCAGGATCTTGGTTTTCCTCGCTCGTGCTGCCATCAGAAGAGCTGAAAAATGCATCAACATTTACATGGGTTATCTCTCTTGTGCCTGTTTCAACCTCCTTTAATCTGTCATCGAAACCTTTTCTGAACCAAGAATTCTCTTTGATCTTTGCAATTGATATTCTAGTACTTGGATTTGGATCTAATATAATGAATAGCAACTTTCGAACTTCAAAATGAAACCAATAAGGGCATTTAAATTCGCCTTTGCCGATTTTTCTATACATCTCCATCAAATTTGATTCATGAAAAGGGAGATAGCCAGCCAATAAAACAAATAGAACTACACCACAGGACCAAATATCAGCTTTTGCACCATCATATCCTTTCCTATTGATAACTTCAGGAGCCACATAAGCTGGAGTTCCACAAGTGGTGTGAAGTAAACCATCTTGCCTTTTAGATTCAGCAAGTGCACTTAAACCAAAATCTGATACCTTGAGATTTCCATTTTCGTCCAACAATAAATTCTCGGGTTTCAAATCTCGGTGATAAACACCTCTACTATGGCAATAATCAACAGCACTAATCAACTGTTGGAAGTATTTTCGGGCAACTTCCTCTTTGAGCCTACCCTTGGAAACCTTATTAAAAAGCTCGCCCCCTTTCACATATTCCATCACAAAGTAAATTTTGGCTTTGGTAGCCATGACCTCGTAAAGTTGAATAATATTTGGATGTTTCACTAATCTCATTACTGATATCTCTCGTTTGATTTGATCAATAAGGCCAACCCTCAAAACCTTCTCTTTGTCGATCATTTTTATAGCAACACTTTGAGAAGTCTTCATATTTCGTGCATGATACACTTTTCCAAATGTTCCTTGTCCTAATAATCTGCCCACTTCATACCTTTGCATCAATATATGGGCCTTATCGTCCATTTCTTTTATGATATTTATTAAGCTGATAAACCCCCTTTCCTGAGATAATATACAATATTTACAAAGTGGAATGTCAAATAGCAGCAGGCGTCAACAGTCCTCCCCAAGGTCGTGATCTATCGGAACAAATTTTCTTGCGTTGGTAGGTCCACTGCGTATTAATGTAGGTGAAACAATTTTGATATTGTTACAATAACCAAGTTAATCAAAGTTGAATGAAGATAAAATGGGACAGTTACAGTCGCTACAATCTCACAGGCGAGGATTTTTGGGCACTTACGCACATCTTTCAGCATTCCTGGGTATTTGTCTTCCAGCTATTTGGTTGGAACTACCTGCATGAAAAAAATAAAAAAAAATTAATTCTTTTGATAATGCTAAAATAACTACACTAGTTTTTTATCAGAAAATGAGAAGGGTTCATTTGGATTGGTCAAACATGATTATTGTTGAGAAAAAAAGATTTATATATAGCAGCAGTAAGAGCAGAATACACAGTTGAGTAAAACTAGGTTCTGGTTTTTTAAAAAAAGAATGTGTTCAATGGCTCTCTCCTTCTAGATATAGTATATATAATTTTACTTTGATATCATTTTTCGAATTGTAAATATTGGTCTAAAGAGAGCATATCTTCAATTCAATTATCAGCTTCTAATTGGACAAATTAGTTCGTAATATCGATCATACTTGATAGTCGATATTGTCTTATGACTTCAAAGAAATATCCCTCCTTTATATATAATGAGAAATTGGTGGTTCTCCTAGAGGCACAAAAAACTAACACAGGTCATATCAAAAAATAACCATGTGTTCTTATATCCAATCAGAAGATGACACGTAGACACCTAATCTTAGTTTCACCTAATTATGAATTCTCATCAAATTAAAATTATCTATGTATATAGATAAAGATGTAAAGCCTACATGAAGGATTTCCTTGCAGTAGTTATTTAATTCAATCCTATATCATCAAATTATCAACCTATCAAACAAGCTATATTAAATGGGCATAGAATCTCTAATATTATTTCTAGGATCATAATTTCTATAATAATTTTAAAGACACTTCATCCCATAAAATTCAGAAATTAGATCTATTGCAAAGAAACAAGATTTTAAACGAAGCCATCAAAATAACAAGACGCATCAAGTTCAATCCAACGCTAACAATAATAGGAAATGTAAGTTGAAAAAGAAAATACCTTCGGCTATTTTAATGTAAGATCTTCAAAAATTTAATCCCTGGTATATTATTCATGGAAATAATCCAAACTGACCCATTATTGAACTATATGAATTTACCCAGGACCATATCGGAGAGCTTCAAAAGAGCTCCATTTGCATTGTCTAAGACCTAAAAAGCTAAAAAAGAAGTGTAATTTCAGGAAAAGTTGAGATTTTTACCTCGGCCATTGGAAGAAAGAGGAGCTCCCAATGACTTCAATCATCTCAGGAGATTTAAGAGGCAGAGAAGGCCTCCCCACTTAGCTTTGTAGGTAATTTTGTGAATAACAACAACTTGAAGGTTCTCTTTACTTTTATCATAAATTTCCACTATTACCCCTTGACTTCGCCTTAAATTGCTGCAAGGAAAAAAAAAATGATAGGGGCACACTCCCAACCACATCCCAAACCACACACCCCCTCTCTAATATGCTACAGTACACCGGGCCCCATATGAGATTTTAAAACTTTAAAATCTCATGTGGAGCCCGGTGTACTGTATCATATGAGAGAGGGGGTGTGGTTTGGGATGTGGTTGTGGGTGTGCCCCTAGTGCCACCCCAAGGAAAATGGAGGCGTTTGGGTACTCTAGAAGAAATAGAGAAAATTTCTCACAATTAAATTCCAAATCAATTATTTACATATTCTATGCTAGATTCAAATACTTATTCAACTCGTGTTGGTGAATCTATTTTGGAATCAAATATTGAGGTTACATTTTTACTTTTAGGGCTGGCTACCCATTCTTTGTCAAACTTTCTTTTAGATATTGTTAGAGTTATTTTAGTGCTGAAAAATAATCCTAAATCAAGGGCAAACAAGTGTCTCGCATTATGCGTAATCGAGTCATCACTTCAAAATAACTCAAGACCCAGCTCAGACGACTCGACACGCTGACATCTCGCGAGGACGACTCAAATGGCGTTACATGTCGACTCCTGGTTGGGTCGACTCACTGATCCACCTACCCGACCGAGCTGACATCTTGCGAAGGAGACTCAAAGGGATGTACTTCTCGACCACTGGACGAGTAGAAATGTGACGAAATACATTGAGCCTCGAGAACCCCCCCCCCTCCGCCCATTCCTCTGCCCCCAATAGTCTTTATGACATACCGGATCACATCGGCACCGCACACCCCTAATCACTTCGCATTAAATACTGAAGTGACCTCTCCTCCACTCATCAGCCGACACTTGTAAAGCAGAGACTGACATGGCCGTCATCCCATACTCGGCCGAAGTTATCATTCTATCCTTCTACCACACTATAAATAGGGGTACTATTTTCAATAATAAGGTAACATCTTTACCTCTACCCGCTGTGCTTAAGAACTACTGCAGTTTATTTTACTTCTTCACTCAAGCAAATCACTGACTTGATCATCGGAGGAACAACCGGAGAACCTAACTGTTGGCCTTCTTGTTTTGATGATGTTTAACAAACAATTTATTACTAATGTTGTTTGTCTAGTGTTTGTACATTCTTATATATTGTAGACAAACAACGTTGTTGGAGGATGGATGGAATAGAGCTTCAACGATGATATCCAATGGAGGTTGGCGGAATGACGGTGAAGCCTTGCTATTCAAAGTTCAAGATCCAAGTTAAAGCTTCATCCGCAAGATTACCTAGAAGAGCTTATTGAAGATCAAGATCAAGCTTGGGTAATTTAGTTTAGGAGTTTATATTATGTGTGTTATATACTCTAAGCTCAATTATCTATACACACACATTTATTGGTTTCTTCGTATATATATATATAGTCATATATATATGTATAAGTTTTGGTTTCTATGCATATATATAGTTATATATATACATACATATGTTTTGAGTTTTTATGGTTATATATATGAAATTCTATATTTCATATTTTCTATTATGTTTTTGAAAACATTGCATAGAATATGCAATTTTGTGAAAATATTGTATTCTTAGTTTATAGACTTCAATATCAGTTTATACATGTTTTACTAAGTCTACAAAAACATTTCACAAAGTTTTAAAAGTTGGTTTAAGTCAAAATATCAAAATATCAATTTTCATATTTTCATGTTTTGGACTATTTTGTAAAATGATGATATTTTTCATTTGGGAAGTCCTTTTTCGAAACCAGTCGTTGTAGCATGTTTATTATCATGTCTACAATCATTCCCCAAAGTTTTACATTTTTTGGAATTTGTTTGATATTTTTAAACAGCTTTTTAAAATCAGCAAATCAGGTTTTTCAGCTGTGTCAGATTTCGGTCGACCGACCCGGTCGACCGATCAGTTGGTTTTTCAGCATTGGGCGACAGAGAGTCTGTCGGTCGACCGGTCCGGTCGACCGAGAGCTCCATCGGTCGACCGCACCGGTCGACCGAAGATGTCAGCTTGTGGTTTCTCGTTTTCGACCTGGATAACGGTCGACCGAATTTTCCGTCGGTCGACCGAACTTTTCCATCGGTCGACCGACAGAATTTCCGGTCGACCGACGATGGATTTTTCTGTTTCCAACGGCTAGTTTTTGTACCGTTGGCTGGGTCTTTTGGTCTTTTGTTTTGGGTGTTTTTTGCTGAAGATTTCTAGTGGGTATATATACCCCATTGCTGATATCTTTTCTAAAAAGCCAAGAGAGTTTGAAAACAAGTTTAAGAAAGTTTTTAATCAAGGGTTTAAGTTTTGTTTAAAAGAGTTTAAGAGTTTGTTTGAGTTTAGTTTGTGAAGCAAATTTCACAAGAGCAAAGAGGAGATCATTCTTTGGTGTTTGGGCATTCAACTCATCTCTCTCTCACTCTTGATCTATAGAGAAGTTTTCCTTAAACTCAATTCTAGCTATTTATTGTTTTGATCTTAATTTCCATAAGCTAGATTTCTATATTGAGTTTATATTGTTTTATCTCTTTGATCACACACAACCTATTGAGCTTATTGTATTTACATTCATAGTATAATTTAGGGTTGTGGGTTTGTCACGGCTAGGTCCAACACTTAGTGGGTGTAGAGTGTGATTGCAAGAGTGTGAGTTGTAGAGTTTTCGGTTAGCTAGAAAACCGAGTGTGTAGAAGAAGTTCCGGCTTCCAAACCGGATTGTGTTAGTGGATTTCTCCCCGGGAGTGGGGAGCGGAGACGTAGGACGGAAGGTCCGAACTCCGTGATCATATCTTGTGTTTGAGTGTGCTTTGGCGTTTATTTATACTTGTGTTTATATTTCTTATCGCCATTGTCATTAGCTCATCATTTATATGATCCACTATCTAGTTCACATTGTTTACCCCTTGTGTTAGTTTATATATCCTTGCATATATATATATTTCATCATATAGGATATATCTCATTGTTTACATTGCTTATCCTAGCTCATATATCTTGTGATATTTCATACTTGCTAGGATAACTTGTTAATTAGTTTTTAATTGGCATTTAATCGGATTAGATTAGCATAAGACCCTAATCACCCCCCCTCTAGGGTCTAACACTAACCTCGCCCTCTTAGGATTTGCTACTTGTGCAGGGAAGAACAGCTAACTTCAGAACCGAACATTCGGCGAGTTAGAGGACCTTCGTCAACTTAATCACTTCTTTCATTGACTGTTTGATATCAGCCATCAACAAATATATTTTTAGTATTTTCTTCAAATCATCTTAACTTTATTCATACTCATTCTTTGTCAAAAATTTAAAATACATACAAAATATTCCCAAATTATTTATTAATTATCTAACTAAAAATAAAAATATTTATATTTTCGGTTTATTATCTAAGCACGCTCAAACATGAGAATGAAAATTAGTATTCTATTCGCACACTCATTTCATTTCATTCATTGCTTCGTTCTATTCTCACTTGATCCAATTCTCGCATATCAAACGAGAGGTTAAGAGTAGTTTCAGGAAACATATTCGTCTCA